CAGGAGTTGCTATAATAAGTTCACTATCTGATATTGTTTTCACAATTTCTCTGCCGTCTTTTTCTTTCATGCAGTTCTCTGTTGCTCGATTGTCTTGGTTGTCTGCAACGATTTATACCAACGCAGACATTGGACACTTCACGTTGTTATTTATTCTTAGGCAATCCAATTCTGATTTTGCAAAATATAATAAGTTTTAAACTGCTAAATTCCACGATTATAGGTAATTAATTCTTTGGTGTTTCTTTCCAAAACAAAACACGGGTTATACGGTATATTGGTTATGTAGAGAGATTGTATCACACACACACATAGACACACACGAGAGAGAGAGAGAGAGAGAGAGAGAGAGAGAGAGAGAGAGAGAGAGAATCAATAAATTCGTTAACTGACACGTAGTTATTAGCGAAATATGTAAGCAAATTGTTCAACGTAATTTTGGACGATTCATATTACATAGCAGTTCAACACTCTATTCTTTGTTTTTAACTAATTTTTTTCTGTTTCTTAATACTTTGTTCAGCATTTGCAAAGCATTTCTCGCCATTTTAATAGGAACTTGGAAAATCTGTGTCGCATTTTATATTTGTGTGTCAAAACAGTTCCTAGACAGATAAAATTCTGCACTTGCATGATTTTGACATTTTCAATTTATAGCTCGCATCTTCCTCTTAATAACGACCTGGCATTGTCTTTTAACAACTGATGGTTAGTCCTTCCTTCCTGCTTTCTTTTATTACCTTGTCGAGTAGATCCTGCAGTTTTTTTTTATTTTCAATGCCTGTCATCAACACACTGTCATCTATGGATCTTATGTTGTTAAGATTGCACCCACCGATAATAAATCCTGGTAGGACTTCTAGTTCTCTTGGATTACCTCACTGTAAAGGTTGAATAAATTCGGTGAGAATACGCATTCTTGTATTACGCTCTTTTCTATTTTTGTATACTTACTCTAATCATTTTTCTAACCGGATGCAGGCTGTTTGTTCCCAGTAAATATTCGGTATTATTCTAGTATCTAGTAGCTCAAATAAATCATGTTTTCCTAGCAGTTCAAATAGGTCTTTGTGTCGCACCTTTATGAAAGAATGGACACGAAGCTGACAAAATTACTTCAAAAATGAATAAAAAAATATTGTTAATTTTATAAGAAAAATATAACACTTTTACATTTTCAGTTTTTCTTACTTTTCCGTCTTTTTAAAAAATAAAAAACTAGCTGTACCCTTGGAAACTCCAAAGTTTTTATAACACTGATTTTTAGATTAAATTATGAACGTAAGTACTGTTTACTCGAAGTCAAAATTGACATAAAAAAGAAATTACTTAAGTATGCTTTTTTGCTATTTTAATTAGTCATGTGACAATACTTTTGACAGCGAGTTTTTAAACACCAGGTGGAGCGGCCATTGTATACGAAAAGGGGAAACCATAAAATTTAAAATTGTCTTTAAAATCCAATATTTGTCTTAGAGACGTGTTTCGAAGTCGATTAGTAAATTTAAGACGTAATTCAATGGACCTTTCTAAAAATAATACCTATCTTTTACTTAAAACAAAATGAAAATGTTTTTGGCTATGGTACCTAGACTTTTTGAATTTAAGCGCAGTACGAAACTGGCGACGAGATGTCATCAATTTACAACAGAGCTGGCGAGATCTCTATCTATAGAAGGCAGGATGTGTGTGTGTGTGTGTGTGTGTGTGTGTGTGTGTGTGTGTGTGCAATTTTCGACGGATTTGCACCAAAATTTACATGCACATGCTCCAAGTTAGCGGGAAGGCCAATACCGACTTTGCATTTCTCAACTCCTATCGATAGTGGAAATAATCAATTTTTTCATGCTTCTACGGCAGTTTTCATGTAGTTTGCGGCCATTTTCTACTGGCCAGAGTGAGAGCCTACAGCTGGCTGCCACGATTAGGCAGGAAGATTATATTGGCCAGCGTGAGAGCCAACAGATGACCGACATGAATGTTAACTAGCATGGTAGCATGCAAAAAAAAAAAAACAGACAAAAAAAAATCGATAGCTGCATTCGTCACAAGTGAGAAAAATTTGAATCTGCATGGCACTTTACTCCAATTGGCTCATTCGCTTGCTTAAACTCAACGCTGATTCTGATTCCGCAGAACTGGGTTGGGTGTGAAAAAAGTATTTGTTGTTAACATTCTTTTTCATTCGGTTTTTCCAGTTACGAGTCCTTTTTTTTTAAAGCTGATCGTTTTGTGTTGATTTTGTTTTAGTTCTTTTTTTCGTAACAGATTTAATGTTTAGTATAGAGCTTAGAAAAAATTCGCAGTATGAGATAGGCAAGAAGTAAGGCATGTAGCAACATCAGCACGGCAAAGGGCACTCGTTTAAAGGCAAGGAAGGGCAAAAATATTTTAAGTCAAGTGATAGCGATTGCTGTATGAGTCGTACGATTTTTGAATCAAGGACGAGCAACGCCGGGCCATGCTGCTAGTCTAGCCATAAGTTCTATGCTAACAGTTTCTTTTCTCGCACTTCTTGCTTGTGGAACTCCCTTCCACCTCCATGCTTTTCAGCCAACTTTAATCTGCAAAAATTTAAATGCAATCTCAATGGTTATCTATTGTCCTCTTGATTACTCTTTTCTCTTCCCACTCATTATCAATGTTCCTAATTATTCACAACCAGTAACGCCTTGTATATTAGCGGCTTTACTACCTTGCATAGGAAGAGACCGATTAAAAAAAAATAAAAGGAACCAAAATTTAATTTCATAGAAGGTATTTAAAATATTTAAAATGTGTTTTCGGGTATTTTAGAAAGCCCGTGACAATAACTAGTATACGAAGAGAGATTATGCCGCATTAAGGACTTAAAGAATTAAGCCAATGTTTAATTAAATAAAATAAACTGATAGTGTAATGAATGTAGTAATGGCGTTAGTAACACTAAAAATAATGCTATTTGATAAAATAACTTAAACTTGAGTTATTGTACGGATAAAAATACGAAGCGGTTATTTGTAATTAGTTAAAATGTCTTCATAAAGAATAGAACATCAACTTTTAACTGCTAAAATTTAGTTGGAAGATAAAATAGAATTTAATTCTTCACCCTTTGAGACTTGCGTTCCTGAACAATTTTAAACCTTATGCTTAAGATCCTGAGTCAAAATGTAATGTTTCACCGTAGATATAAAAATAGTTACAAGTGTTTACTCACCGTTCACTGTGCATTAAGTCATTTTTTTTTCCTCTTTTCAATCGGTGGCTGTACATTACATCACATCATTTTTATCTACCACCGGTAAATCCGTGGTCTGGGCTCAAAGGGTTAATAATAACAATTTATATTGATTTTCCAAGCGTAGCTTAGATGTGGCACAAGGCCGAAATTAGGGGGCACCCAGTGAGGATCGAACTCACTACTCAGTCGTAATTGTTCTAACGAGCCAAGCTTGCTAACCATTACACCGCCTCGAGGTGCCCAAAGATTTTCCAAGCGTAGCTTAGATGTGGCACAAGGCCTAAAGCATGGGGCATCCAGTGAAGAGCGAACTTACTTTTCAGTAGTAACTGATCTAGCAAGACAAGCTTGTTAACCATTACACCACGCTGGGGTGCCCATAATAATAACAATAATATATAAGGAAAGTGATTTTCATTAAGTATAAAGAAATAATATGAAAATTGTTGTCGAAAACCATAATTAGCCTCGTTCCTGATGATCCGTCGCCCAGGACACATCCTTAATCTTGCGGCAAAATCGTGAGGTACGGGATATTCCTGAACGTGTGTGGTTGTTTTTTTTATATGCATTTCTGGGGAAGATGAATAAGTACGTGATAAATGTAATAAAATAATCGGGAGTAATTTCCCTTGTTTTATGATTACCTCCCTTTGTAGAACTCTTTCGTTTCAAGAGGACTATAAATAGTCACTATGGCTGTATCAATTATTCTAAGCAGAATAAAACTTCCTTAATCCTTCTCTTGCACTTTTTTTTTTTTTTTTTTTTTTTTGTTATTACAATAATATAACATTTCTTTGTGGGGACGGGACTGGAAATTGGGTTTTAATTGAGAATCATACAGTCACTAATCTCTTCATCTGAACAATAAATGACACATACAAGATAGAATGTAAGGATGGAAACAGAAAAAAAGATTTTGAATGGAAGATGCGAAGGTTGGAAAGAAATAATACTTTAAGGGAAAATGTTAAGGGTGAAAATCAAGTGAAAGAAGAATATTATGATGATGAAGATGATGATGATGATGATGAAGATGATGATGATGATAATGAAGATGATCATCATCATCATGATGTTGATGATGAGGATAATGATGATGATGAAGATGATGAAGAAGATGATGATGATGAAGGATGAGAAGAAGAAAATGATGATGATGATGATGATGATGATGATAATGATGATGATGATAATGATGATGATGATGATAATGATGTTGATGATGAGGATAATGATGATGATGATGAATAAGATGTTGAAGAAGTTGATGATGATGAAGGATGAGAAAAAGAAAATGATGATGATGATAATGATGATGATGACAATTATGAATAATAATAATAATAATAAGGTATAGAAAGTAAGAGAGTGAAAGACACGAAAGGAAACTGCAATGATAATATTTACAAAAGGAAAAAAAAAAGAAGGAAGAAAGAAGCAAAGACACTCGGAACAGACAAAAAAAAAAAAAAAAAGAATAACAAAGAAAAGGAGAAAAAAGAAAAAAAGAAGCAAAGTAATAAATGATGTGTCCTTAAATTCTTTTAGCCATTGATATTTTTCTAAAATAAAAGCGGAACACAAATTCTTGCCCCTGGAGAGTGCGATGAGAAGGTAAAGTCTGTATATAATGCTGACTTTCTTCTTGTTGCTGCTATTTCTGTTAATGTAATTTTTGTCACAAGGTCCCCAAAGGCTAGCGTTGAATTCTCTTTCTTCTCCTTTAGGTTTTCTTATTTCTTCTCTTAGACAGGAAATTACTCACTGCTAAATGCTATTTACATTCTTGGTTATTCACTGTCTTTGCATTTTTATTTATTACTTCATTATTTTTTCTTTTTCTTCAGTTTTCTTTTTTTTCTTTAATTCTTTCAAATTTTTTCTTCATTTCCCATTTCTTTTCTTACCGTCTTTCATTCCGCATTTATTTTATTCTTCCGTTTTTTCTTCATTGATGTTCTTTTATTATGACTACGATTTTAAATCCTCTTAAAATCTATTTGTTTTGTTTAATCTGCTGATCTGGTTTATGTATTTTTAATAGGTTAAAACGTTGGAAGAAGGAGATATACAACTAAATCTATGGATGGTCAACTGAGCCACAACGATTAAAACTCATCTTGGAATCGTACAGTTTTTTTTAATAAGCCAATAGAACTAAGAATCGAGAAGAGATCATTGGATATTTCGTATCATAATAATAGCAATCGTCTAAATACATAATGATACATTTTGGGAAAGACAAATGTGATCATCGTTTATTAAATGTTTTTTTTCTGATTGAGAACGAAAAAATTGACATTAGCTAAAATAACAATTTATTTTTATACTAGCTTAAAAGCCGCAATTCGACCCAAACTAAAGGCACCTCTGGTCCATCTTAGAAAACACCAATGATAATTTTGAAGAAATAAGTCTGAATTCCTCAATTCACTCCATGGAAATTTAAAACCTCACTTTAATGCTGATTCGGGCTATAAGTCCAATTCCGGCCAAAAGACCGATTTGGACCGAAATTCCAATTCAGGCCGAAAATTGAGTTGAGTTCTTCAAATCCCAAACTCTGCGGAACTTCAAAATCTCACGTCACGGAACCTTTTATTTAACTCTGATTCCTTGGCTTTTTTGAAGAAATAAAATTGATTTCCACAATTCACAAAGTTTTGAAGATATTTTAAATAGAATTTAAAAAAAGAAAAGAAAAGAAATTCACAAAATTTTTGTGTTACTTTAAATTTAATATAAATTAAAAACTTTTAAAATTTTGAATTTTTAACTGTTCCCTACTCATCCGGACACAAGTCCCAATGTTGAATGTTCAAGCGTGAAGGGCAGATATTTAATCCCGGGATCATCCTGATTCTAAAAAGGTATGTCTATGTAGACCAAATGTAGCCCGAGTTAGAGGGGTTTGAGACACACAGACGGAAAGACAGAATTTGCCGTTTATTTATTTCGATTAGAAATTGCTGAACAAATCGATGACACAAGATGTGGATCGACTGTATTTTATTCCGAGCAAGACATTGAAAAAGATTCTTTTAAGACGCATTATAAACATTAACTTAAAAACTCGAGTCATATTTTTAAATAGCCTCGTTTGATCGAAACTTTCCTGTGGATGTCATACATGACACCAAACCCGTTCAGAAATATCTAAACTGTCTGCTGTATACAACCGCTTCCTAAGATCAATGACTTTGAGCGAATGAAGCCTATGGATCTTGGTGAAGACCAAAGTTCTTCAAATCATGTAGACTGGTAGTACATAATCACACACACACACAGACGCACACACACACAGACACACAAAACTGTACCAAATAACAGAAACAACATCACTTGGGGACTTTCAACAACGGCAACAACTAAAATGGATAGCACGTGTATCTCGAAGAGAAAAATAAAATATAATCAAGATGTTGGCGTTTAACAAGGAAACTCCTTACCAATATTGGAAAGAGCGATGACAGATACTGGACTTGAGAAGCCTATTTTCTTGAAAGATTGTTTCAAGAGAAAGATTTCATAAAATCCAGCCAACAGTAGTACTGGCTGATTGGTCAATGGATGCCAAATATTTCCTTATAAGGAAATGGCTAATATTACCATTACCATCCTAACAATAAACTATTAGTTATATACATCCGTTTTCTCAAAACAATGGTTAAAATGACTTTAAGCGAATGAATCCCTTAAGTCTAAAAGAAGAAAATCTTTTATCGGATCATTGTGTTAAAGAATAATAAAGAACTTTAATAAACAACATAAAAAACACACCCGTTGAAGACTTCCAACAGTAGCAACAATTAAAACGGATAGCACATGCAATAAGAAATTAATATAAAAATATTATTCAGATGCTGACCTTCAATACTACCAGAAACAAAAGGTTAAGAAGGAAACGTTCATCACTACTAGAGAAAATGATAATTGGATTATAAAGCCTTTTTTTTCTGAAAAATTGTTTTAAAAGGAAGATTTTTACAAATTTCAACTGACAGTAAACCTGTTCAATCAATGAATGCCGAATGTTTCCTGACTGGAAAGGGCTATTCTCACTATCACCATTAATATTCTCATAATAGAAAAAACGTATCTCTTCCTTTTCTTTTTATTCATTTTTTTAACTCTTACAAATATATATATATATATATATATATATATATATATATATATATGATATATATATATATATATATACCCAGAAAATAAAAAATTATGATCTTTAACTGAGGAATAACTAATGGCAACAAATTTAAGCCATTCTTTAACCTTCGAGCCCGAAAAAAAATATGTCAAAAGGACGGGTTTTCCCTTGACACTGTAGTTATTTTAACTACCTTCACTCTTCGGCAATATTTATCGCTTAAAAGCAATTAAAATTGTAATAAAACCTAAACATGATGAAAGTGAATTTATACATTATTTTTGTCCTTGAGTATTTATTACTAAAATATTAAACTCTATTTATTAGATGGTCTATTTACAAGAATAATTTTATATTTACAACATTATAAAAACTAATACAATTGTATTAAGACTAATGCAATGCAATATTTACGATTTACCAATTTATAAAGTAATAAATATGAAAACAAATTTTATTTAAACATTTACTAAAATTATTAAAATATGTGAATGAACTATAAGTAAATCATTATTTACAATTTTATCAAGTTTGAATCAATTGGGCATTTAGCTTAGGTTTTGCCGATCATTTCAATAAACAATCTAATAAATATATAGCGTTTATTATTTTTGGTGTAAATTCTCAAGAACAAAGAAAATATATAAATTCACTTTCATATGTTTAGGCTTTATTACAATTCTAATCATCACTTTTTAAAAGAACTTGAATATTTTGCAACACTGACACATGTTAAAATCACCACAGTATTTAGTATTGTTGAAATTATCACTAACATTTGTTGTCGAGATTTACAAACACTACGTTTCGTTCAATTTCGCAAACCAATCGATGAAATTCGAATAAGCTGTTTGTTTGGGAAAATACTATGAAGAAAAACCTACTTCGCAATTTAATAATTTTTTTAATATAATTTAATTTTAAAGGACTTCATGGTAAACAATATTTTTTAAGAAAATTTCTTTTCTTTCTTTTTTAACAGTGAAGAATAAATTCTTAAGATTTCTTACTCTTGAGCATGCAACAAAGAACAGTTGGTTTTAATAGGTGCGTAGCTTAGTTCAATAAATTTTAATTCATTTCATTTCATACAACTGGCCAAGCGTAAATATTTATGTCTGGAGCCAAATTCTAACTTTTTGAAGCGTTTAGCCTTGTGATTTGTTTGTTGTTCTCGCAAAAGAAAGGCGAACTGAAAACTGGATTCTTGTATATAGAAACTTAAAGAAAAGATATGCAAAAAACAATATTGCATTTTTATTAAATAAGTATTTGTCATTTTAATCATTAATTTGATTTTAAAATAGTGAGAGTATATTGTATGTTAAATAATAAAGCTTTTAATTTTTTCAAAAAATGAATGAAAATTTATTCTACTAAGCTACGCACACTTGTAAAATCAACAGTATTTTTTACCCCATTACCTGTTTGCACTTTTCTCCAGAATTTGGTTTCGATCGGACAATGTATGGATCTTTTGGGTGTGTGTGTAGGGGGTGAGGTGACGGACAGGCTAACGGAAGTCACAGAATTTTATATATAGATAGATAAATATTGCCGATGAAGGAAGGTAGTTAAAATAATAGCAGTGTCAAATGAAAAAAAAAACATTCTTTTGGGACACCGTTTTTTTCTTGCCAAATCTAGATATAAAAATATATTTATCGTAAAATCTATGGCAGTCGCATCATAAGTACAACGATTCTGATATGAATAATTTTCTTAGACTTTTCATTACAACTTTCTCTTTTCATTACCTCTTTTTACACTTTTCATTAAATCTTGCTCTTTTCATTACCTTTCTTAACCTTTTCATTACCTCTTTCTCTTTTCATTAACTCTTTCTCTTTTCATTACCTCTTTCTCTTTTCATTAGCTCTTTTTGCCATTTTCATTACCTCTTTCTCTTTTCATTGCCTCTTTTTTACCCTCTTCATTACCTCTTTCTCTTTTCATTACCTCTTTCTCTTTTCATTACCTCTTTTTACCCATTTCATTACCTCTTTCTCTTTTCATTACATCTTTCTCTTTTCATTACCTCTTTTTACCCTTTTCATTACCTCCTTCTCTTTTCATTACCTCTTTCTCTTTTCATTACCTCTTTCTCTTTTCATTACCTCTTTTTACCCTTTTAATTACCTCTTTCTCTTTTCATTACATCTTTCTTACCATTTTCATTACCTCTTTCTCTTTTCATTACCTCTTTTTACCCTTTTCATTACCTCTTTCTCTTTTCATTACCTCATTTTACCCTTTTCATTACCTCTTTCTCTTTTCATTACCTCTTTCACTTTTCATTACCTCTTTCTCTTTTCATTAGCTCTTTTTACCCTTTTCATTACCTCTTTCTCTTTTCATTACCTCTTTCTTCCCATTTTCATTACATCTTTCTCTTTTCATTACCTATTTTGACACTTTTCATTACCTCTTTCTCTTTTCATTACCTCTTTTTACCCTTTTCATTACCTGTTTCTCTTTTCATTACATCTTTCTTAACATTTTCATTACCTCTTTCTCTTTTCATTACCTCTTTCTCTTTTCATTACATCTTTCTTACCATTTTCATTACCTCTTTCTCTTTTCATTACCTCTTTTTACCCTTTTCATTACCTCTTTCTCTTTTCATTTTCATTACTTTTTTTTCATTACATTTTCATTTTCATTACCTCTTTCTCTTTCATTACATCTTTCTTTTTCATTTTTCATTACCTCTTTCTCTTTTCATTACCTCTTTCTCTTTTCATTACATCTTTCTCTTTTCATTACCTCTTTTTACCCTTTTCATTACCTCTTTCTCTTTTCATTACATCTTTCTTACCATTTTCATTACCTCTTTCTCTTTTCATTACCTCTTTCTCTTTTCATTACATCTTTCTTACCATTTTCATTACCTCTTTCTCTTTTCATTACCTCTTTCTCTTTTCATTACCTCTTTCTTTCTTTTACCATTTCATTACCTTTTCTTTCTTTTTTTCATTACCTCTTTTTACCCTTTTCATTACCTCTTTCTCTTTTCATTACCTCTTTCTCTTTTCATTACCTCTTTCTCTTTTCATTACATCTTTCTTACCATTTTCATTACCTCTTTCTCTTTTCATTACCTCTTTCTCTTTTCATTACATCTTTCTTACCATTTTCATTACCTCTTTCTCTTTTCATTACCTCTTTTTCTTTTCATTACATCTTTCTTAGATTTTCATTAACTCTTTCTCTTTTCATTACCTCTTTCTATTTTCATTACATCTTTCTTACCATTTTCATTACATCTTTCTCTTTTCATTACCTCTTTCTCTTTTCATTACATCTTTCTTACCATTTTCATTACCTCTTTCTCTTTTCATTACCTCTTTCTCTTTTCATTACATCTTTTTACCATTTTCATTACCTCTTTCTCTTTTCATTACCTCTTTTTACCCTTTTCATTACCTCTTTCTCTTTTCATTACCTCTTTCTCAATTCATTACCTCTTTTTACACTTTTCATTACCTCTTTCTCTTTTCATTACCTCTTTCACTTTTCATTACCTCTTTTCTTTTTCATTAACATCTTTTTCATTACCTCTTTTTTTTTCATTACCTCTTTCTCAATTTCATTACCTCTTTCTTCCCTTTTTCATTACCTCTTTCTCTTTTCATTACCTCTTTCTTTTTTCATTACATTTTCATTTTCTTTTCATTTCATTATCTTTTAGTATTTTTTACCTACCTTTTTCATTACCTCTTTTACACTTTTCATTACCTCTTTCTCTTTTCATTACCTCTTTTTCCACTTTTCATTACCTCTTTCTCTTTTCATTACCTCTTTTTGCCCTTTTCATTACCTCTTTCTCTTTTCATTACCTCTTTCTTACCCTCTTCATTACCTCTTTCTCTTTTCATTACCTCTTTCTCTTTTCATTACATCTTTCTTACCATTTTCATTACCTCTTTCTCTTTTCATTACCTCTTTTTACCCTTTTCATTACCTCTTTCTCTTTTCATTACCTCTTTCTCTTTTCATTACCTCTTTCTCTTTTCATTACCTCTTTCTTACCTCTTTTCATTACCTCTTTCTCTTTTCATTACCTCTTTCTCTTTTCATTACCTCTTTCTTCCCTTTTCATTACCTCTTTCTCTTTTCATTACATCTTTTTACTCTTTTCATTACCTCTTTTTACCCTTTTCATTACCTCTTTCTCTTTTCATTACATCTTTCTCTTTTCATTACCTCTTTCTCTTTTCATTACATCTTTCTTACCATTTTCATTACCTCTTTCTCTTTTCATTACCTCTTTCTCTTTTCATTTTCTCTTTTTTATTACCATTTTTTTCATTACCTCTTTTTCTTTTCATTACCTCTTTCTTTTTCATTACCTCTTTCTCTTTTCATTACCTCTTTCTTTTTTTTCTTTTTCTTTTCATTTCTTTTTACCCTTTTCATTTTTTTTCTTTTTCCTTACCTTTTCTCTTTTCATTACCTCTTTCTCTTTTCATTACCTCTTTCTTTTTCATTACCTCTTTTACTTTTCATTACCTCTTTCTCTTTTTCATTACCCTCTTTTTACTTTTCGTTACTCTTTTCTTTTCATTACCTCTTTTACCCTTTTCATTACCTCTTTTCTCTTTTCATTACTTTCTCTTTTCATTACCTCTTTCTCTTTTCATTACCTCTTTCTCTTTTCATTACATCTTTCTTTTTTACCTCTTTTCTTTTTTTGCCTCTTTTTTTACCCTTTTTACATTACCTCTTTTCATTACCTCTTTTTTCATTACTTTCTCTTTTCATTACTTTCTCTTTTCATTACCTCTTTCTCTTTTCATTACCTCTTTTGCCTTTTCATTACCTCTTTTCTTTTTCATTACCTCTTTTTCCTACATTTTCATTACCTCTTTCTCTTTTCATTACCTCTTTCTACCCTTTTCATTACCTCTTTCTCTTTTCATTACCTCTTTTTACCCTTTTCATTACCTCTTTCTCTTTTCATTACCTCTTTCTCTTTTCATTACATCTTTCTCTTTTCATTACCTCTTTCTCTTTTCATTACATCTTTCTTACCATTTTCATTACCTCTTTCTCTTTTCATTACCTCTTTCTCTTTTCATTACCTCTTTCTCTTTTCATTACCTCTTCTCTTTTCATTACCTCTTTCTCTTTTCATTACCTCTTTTCACTTTTCATTACCTCTTTTACCTTTTCATTACCTCTTTCTTAATTTTTCATTACCTCTTTCTCTTTTCATTACCTCTTTTTTTCATTTCACCTCTTTTCATTACCTCTTTCTTACCTTTTTCTTTACCTTTCTCCATTTTCACCTTTCTCTTTTCATTACCTCTTTCTCTTTTCATTACCTCTTTCTTTTTTTCATTACCTCTTTCTTTTTCATTTGCCTCTTTTTTACCCTTTTCATTTACCTCTTTCTTTTTCATTACCTCTTTCTCTTTCATTAACTCTTTTTTACCTTTTTCCTCTTTTCTTTTTCATTACCTCTTTCTCTTTTCATTACCTCTTTCTCTTTTCATTACCTCTTTTTACCTTTTCATTACCTCTTTCTCTTTTCATTACCTCTTTCTTTTCATTTCTTTCTTACCATTTTTTTTCATTACGTCTTCCTCTTTTCATTACCTCTTTCTCTTTTCATTACCTCTTTTCATTCTTACCATTTTCCTCTTTCTCTTTCTTACTTTTCACATTACCTCTTTTCTTTTTTTCATTACCTCTTTCTTACCTCTTTTCATTACATCTTTCTCTTTTCATTACCTCTTTCTCTTTTCATTACCTCTTTCTCTTTTCATTGTCTTTACCTTTTTCATTACCTCTTTTTTCATTACCTCTTTCACCCATTACCTTTCTTTTCATTACCTCTTTCTCTTTTTCATTACCTCTTTCTTTCATTTTACCTCTTTCATTTTTCCTCTTTCTTTTCTTTCATTACCTCTTTTTTCCATTTCATTACCTCTTTCTCTTTTCATTACTCTCTTTCTCTTTTTCATTTTCATCTTTTTACCCTTTTCATTACCTCTTTCTCTTTTCATTACCTCTTTTTCTTTTCATTATTTTCATTTCACCTCTTTCTCTTTTCATTACCTCTTTTCTTTTTTTTCATCATTTTCTTACCTCTTTTTTCATTACCTCTTTTTCTTTCATTACCTCTTTTTACCCTTTCATTACCTCTTTCTCAATTTTCATTACCTCTTTTCTTTTCATTACCTCTTTCTCTTTTCATTACTCTCTTTCATTACCTCTTTTTTTCGTACCTCTTTTCATTACCTCTTTTTCTTTTTTTGCCCTTTTATTACCTCTTTCTTGCCATTTTTTCATTTTCATTACCTCTTTCTCTTTTCATTACCTCTTTTCTTTTCATTACCTCTTTCTTAGATTTTTCATTAACTCTTTCTCTTTTCATTACCTCTTTTCTCTTTCATTACAACTTTTCTTAGCATTTTCATTACCTCTTTCTCTTTTCATTGCCCTTTCTCTTTTCATTACATCTTTCTTACCATTTTCATTACCTCTTTCTCTTTTCATTTTTTCTCTTTTGTTACCTCTTTCTTACCATTTCATTACCTCTTTTCTTTTTCATTACCTCTTTTTTTCATTACCTCTTTTTCTCCTTTCATTACCTCTTTCTCTTTTCATTACCTCTTTCTCAATTCATTACCTCATTTTACACTTTTCATTACCTCTTTCTCTTTTCATTACCTCTTTTACTTTTCATTACCTCTTTTTCTTTTCATTAGCTCTTTTTACGCTTTTCATTACCTCTTTCTCAATTCATTACCTCTTTCTTCCCCTTTTCATTACCTCTTTCTATTTTCATTAGCTCTTTTTACCATTTTCATTACCTCTTTCTCTTTTCATTATATCTTTCTTACCATTTTCATTACCTCTTTCTCTTTTCATTACCTCTTTCTCTTTTCATTACATCTTTCTTACCATTTTCATTACCTCTTTCTCTTTTCATTACCTCTTTCTCTTTTCATTACCTCTTTCTCTTTTCATTACATCTTTCTTACCATTTTCATTACCTCTTTCTCTTTTCATTACCTCTTTTTACCCTTTTCATTACCTCTTTCTCTTTTCATTACCTCTTCCTCTTTTCATTACCTCTTTCTCTTTTCATTACCTCTTTTTAGACTTTTCATTACCTCTTTCTCTTTTCATTACTTCTTTCTCTTTTCATTACCACTTTCTTCCACTTTTCATTTCCTCTTTCTCTTTTCATTACATCTTTTTACTCTTTTCATTACCTCTTTCTCTTTTCATTACCTCTTTCTCTTTTCATTAGATCTTTTTCTTTTCACCTCTTTTCTTTTTCTCTACCTCTTTCTCTTTTCCTCTTTCTTACCCTCTTCATTTACCTCTTTCTCTTCATTACCTCTTTTTCCTTTTCATTACCTCTTTTTCTTTTTCATTTACATCTTTCTCTTTTCATTACCTCTTTTACCCTTTTTTTTACCTCTTTCTTTTTCATTACCTCTTTCTCTTTTCATTGCTCTTTCTCTTTTTCATTACCTCTTTTTTTTCATTATCTTTTTCTTTCATTACCTCTTTCTCTTTTCATTACCTCTTTCTCTTTTTCATTACCATTTTCTTTTCCTCTTTCTTCCTTTTCATTACCTCTTTTCTTTTCATTAGCTATTTTTCTTTTCATTAACTCTTTCTTTTCCCTTTTACATTTTCTCTTCTCTTTTCATTACCTCTTTCTTACCATTTCATTACCTCTTTCTCTTTTCATTACCTCTTTTTTACCATTTCATTACTTCTTTCTCTTTTCATTTACCTCTTTCTCTTTTTACATTACCTCTTTTCCCTTTTCATTACCTCTTTCTCTTTTTTAACATCTTTTTTCTTACCATTTTCTTTTCATTACCTCTTTTCTTTTTCATTACCTCTTTCTCTTTTCATTACATCTTTTCCTACCATTTTCATTACCTCTTTCTTTTTCATTACCTCTTCCTCTTTCTCTTTTCATTTCTTTCTTTCTCTTTTCATTTACATCTTTCTCTTTTCATTTTCTTTAACCTCTTTTCTCTTTTCATTACCTCTTTCTATTTTCATTACATCTTTCTTACCATTTTCATTACATCTTTTTTTCATTACCTCTTTCTCTTTTCCCTTACATCTTTCTTACCATTTCATTACCTCTTTCTCTTTTCATTACCTCTTTCTCTTTTTCATTACATCTTTCTTTTTCATTACCATTTCATTACCTCTTTTTGCTCTTTTCATTTTCCTCTTTTACCTCATTTTCCTTTCTTTTTTTACCTCTTTCTCTTTTCATTACCTCTTTTTTTTCATTACCTCTTTCTCTTTTCATTACCTCTTTCTTTTTCATTACATTTTACCCTTTTCTTTTCCTCTTTTCTTTTTTCGTCTTTTTCCTCTTTTACCCTTTTCTTTTCCTCTTTTTTTACCCTTTTCATTACCTCTTTCTTTTCTTTTCATTACCTCTTTCTCTTTTCATTACATCTTTTTTCATTTTCATTACCTCTTTTTTCTTCTTTCTCTTTTTCATTACCTCTTTCTTTTCTTTTTCATTACCTCTTTCTCTTTTCATTACCTCTTTCTTTTTTCATTACCTCTTTTCTTTTTACCATTTTCATTACCTCTTTTTTCTTCATTTTTTCTTTTTCATTCCTCTTTTTTTTCATTACCTTTTCTCTTTTCATTACCTCTTTTCTTTTTCATTTCTCTTTCCGTTTTCATTAATTT